TATAATACTTATCACTTCTACCTGCCAGTGAAGTTAAACTTCAAAAGGACTTTGTCTGTCAAAACCAAAGCACACTCTTTATGATTCATTTTAGTCTATTTTAACCTTCCAGAATTAGATTTCATAAAAAAGCACAAGAATTTTGTCATCACCTTTTATTTTATTCTTGATATAAGAGTTTAAAAAACAGTCCCCATTATGCTGTAGGAAAAAAAGAAAAAAAAAAAGAAACAGAAACCCCTCTAACACCAAGAAGATTTAAGGCTAAAGACCCGGTAAGAAAACCAAAATCTCAGCACTAAGTCTCTTTAACTAGGACTCAGCCAACTTTTTTTTTTTTTTTTTTATCAGGGCTGGCTCTTCACTAATTCATGGTGGAAATTCCTTGTACTCTCCAACATCTGCACAGACTGGTTCATCTCTTGGTCAATTTTACTGAGTTTGCAATGCTCTGGCAACACAAACTATCTAATCTCCCTGGGATGTGCCTAACTGGATATTTCCCCCAAGTCAAAGGGCTCCTATGTGGCAAAGGAGATGATGCACTACTGGTCTCCCACCTGCCTCACAACATCCTTTCATTCCTCAGCTCACCAGGTGCCAGAAGGGCTGTAGGAACCATGGGCAGATCAGGAATGTAACAGCTCACCTGCCTCCTGCTGATCCCAGGAACACAAAGGTGGCTGGAAGCCCTGCCTTTCACTGTGCCACCAACTCTCTACTGTGGCCATGCCAACCAGTGTGGAGACTGCATGGGTCACTTTCAGTCAAAATCTGTCACTGCAGTTGTGATAATATTTAATACCTAGCTGATACAAATGCACCCTGCTACGCAAAATCCAAGAGTAACAGTTTAGGCCCCAGTAGTTGGTTTTGCTCATTCTGGCTATACCAAAAGTAAGACACAGCTCTTCTGAGTCTGAGAAGTGACAGAGGATGCTAGAAAAGTACATACAGCACATACATACCTTATTGACAAAAAAGTTCCTATGCTACAAATGCAAAAAATATCACCGTAAAAATATCTTGCAGAGGAAATATAAGCATCGGAAACTCCAAAAACTGGTGCTACAGGAATACTATGCTTTTTTCCTCCCCCTTAAAAGAGCAACTCCTGTCTAAAAGCCTTTGAAAAAAAACAAGCCCACAAAGAAACCCCACAAACTAAACCATCAGGAATTTTTCTTCTCATAAAAACCTGACACCATATTTGCTTCTAAATTCTGAGTTAACATTGTCACAGTGACAACTTTTATCAGGGACCATTATAGGACTCTGTATCTTTGAAACTAACAATTCATCCCAGAAAGGAGTATTTAACTTTGAAGCAATGTTGTTTGGCTAAATGTAGATTATCTAATAGTAAGTGTTCACAAAATGTAAGTGAAAAAATATTACGAATATGAAAAAATCTGAATTACCCCATTGCCCTTTTTTCTGAAATTACTTCTGAAACTGTTTCAGGGAACCTGTTATAACTCTATGTAACTCTACTAATGCTAATGGAAATATATTCATTTGCAGCAGTTTAAGATCCAGCTCATCATTTTTTAATAGAAACCATTCCTATATGGAATTCACCACCTGAATATTATAGAAGCATGTTAATGCCAAGGACCTAAAAATAGCAATTAAATAAAAGTGTTTTTCAAAGTCTTAGGTATAAAAGCCTTAAAATTCAAGGATACCCCATAAATAGAAGAAAACGAAATAATATCTCTGATCTATTCCTACTTACCTCCTGAAATACCTGAAAAATTGCCAGTTTTAATAGGGGGTAGGAATGCATTTCAGACTCAATCATGTTATAAACATGTTCCATCATGTTACAAGATGTTTTTTCTCCTACTTCCCTCTTGCAAATAATTGAAACTTTAAATTTGATTTTCACACTATAAAATTAACTAACTATGATATAGCTTTAAAAAAATTAAAGAGACACTAAGGCAAGTAGAGTTTGGCTGAATGGAAAATTAAGTTCCTGATGTTCAGAGATGAACAATTATTACACAGATGATTCCAAGAAACAAATTTCTGCTTATGATAATCTAAATATAAATTACAGATTGATATTCACTTGGACACAGCAGCATCAATTTCTTATGTGGGCAATAGCTGTTTTGTACTGCCATTTATTGATTAAATGCTCAATATACCATTCACGGTCATTCAAAAAAGTCACACCTTGTCCCTTTACTCTATGGAAAAAAACTTTAATTTTTTGTTTGTAGTACAGGACATGAGAGCATCTTTTTCAAAGCAGATTATTCCTATTAAGCCTGTTCATGAACTTGTGGGTTTGTCCAGAGTCTACAGGAATGTGACATTCCTGTTTAATATTTTTCTGTGAAGAACACTAAAATGAAATTTTGGCTGGGGCTTTATTAACCTATCTAACAAAAGTCAGCTGGTCAGTAGGCTTACCTGGGAATTGAGCTCTTCTGAGACTGATATCTCTACTTTTTCAACCTCACTGAACTGCTGAGCTATTACAAAGTAAGTAGCTCTTTTTTTTTTTTGTCTGTTTTGTTTTCCCCAAAACATTTGGCAGCTATAGTTTTCATTTCAATGTCAAATAACTACCAACCAAACCTCACACTTCTATCCCACAGAACTGTTGTTTTCTGACCAACTCTGCCTGCCATAATCACAATAGAATCCTATAGTTATTATTAAAACAACTTTTGGAGCTATAGGATAGATAGTTTGACAACAGGTCTACTCAGTTTTGGTTATTGTAGGGTGCAAATGAAGATCAGTATGAAAAATCCTGAATTGCAGCCAGTCTACATACTTTTTCCTCACAGGACCTACGATAAGAAAGAAGAACAACCTTTTAAGCTTTGTCCGCTTTTAAAAATCTACCTGTAGTTTGAGACTGTCTATAACTGGTTGATTGGGGGGGGGAAAGTATAATAATAAATAACACAAGATTAACAAAAGTGGAGCATACTCATTTAAAGTTTTTTTGCAATGGGAATCTGCAAAAATTTGGGTCTGGGGTAAAATAAACGTAATCACTAGTTGAAGCTGCACACCTCAAATTTAAAAAAATATAATTTTGGGCCCTGGGACACCATAGTGTCTTATTCTTACACTGTTTTTTTCTTCTGCCCTAAGCTTTCATTCAAAGGAATTGACCAACAAACAGATTGTCCTCCGAAGTATCTTTATTAAGTGTCTCTCCACCTTGGTGGAGAGGACACAGGGTTAACTCCACAAATGTACCTCTGCTTTTTCACATTTTCAGTGGGCTTACATAGCAATTTTTTCATAAATGTCATACACTCTTACATTTTTGTGGTTAGTAGCTGATAAACTAAATGGTTAAGCACACGTTACAATAGCATTCTATTTTACTTAGGTGTAAGACATATTTTCTGGCTTTCTTGTTAACACTTGTCTACATGCCTAAAAGCAACAGTTAGTTACCTATCTGTTCCTCCAAGCTTGCTTATGTATTTTTGAAGCAACAGTTAGTTAACTATCTGTCTCTCTCACAAGAGCGGTTCCCTATTCGCAGCTAGCAGTTTTGAATATTCGGTTAAGTTTTCTAATTTGCTAAGTCACACTAAACCAGACCTGCTTATGCTAATCACAATTACAATATAAAGTTGACAATTCTTCGTCTCAGCTTCCATGAATAACTTTGCAGGTATGTAAAACCTGTTGACTTTGACAGGATTATCAATGAAGCATGAAGTTATTCATAACTGTACATAGCTAATGGCAGCAGTTATACAAGGGTTATCTGCTTTATGTTATTATGTTTCAGCCACAATTTTGGGATCAGTATGGACCATGAATGGACCACAAGGGAGAATCAGAGGGCACAGAGCAAAATTGGTAGCAGCCCAATTGTCTGCATATCTTACCTGAAGACTAAAACTAGATGTGATATCACAAGACATCTCAGAAATCTACTTAATTCTTCAAAGGTGTTTCAGATGCAGTTTTGCTGCAATCTGCTGTTCTCTCTTTAGGTTCACCATTGGGCTGCAACATGATTTAGGGCCTAACCTTGCTGTTACAGATTTGAGTTCACAGATGAGGGTAACTACTGGTAGGACAGAGACAGAAAGCTCCTCAGGGCAGGGACCTTGTTTTTACAGCAGAATTTTAAGCTCTTAGTACATTATAAATTATGATATGAAGAATACTGCAAGTCACAGCCTCAAAAACCTATCTAAGGATGCCTTGGTAAAAGCAGAGTAAGGAATGTAAAGTGTCATTTAAGAGTGAGTCAACATGCGCAGTCAGCGCCACAGGAATGACTGCTACTCAGTCCAACTGCTCACAGTCACGGGCTAAACTCCGCTGTTGGCAGAAACTCACATGAAAACCAAGCTTTTGGTAACCAACTGCAGATCCACGAGGAGCGGGATCTCTGGCCACGCACAGGCCCTCGGCTGGGAGAGCCGGTAAGCAGGGCTCAAGCCCTCAGGCCATGTCCACCCGAGGCACCTTCCAGCCCTGTCCCCGTGGCTGTGCAGGGAGAGCTGCTCCGAAGGGCTCAGGAGGCGCGGGCCGCGGGTCCCGTCGTCCCGCCGCCCGCGGGCACACGGTGCGGGCCGGCACCAGGTGCGGGAGCTGCCGCAGCAGCTGCAGGCACGGCTGGGCGGTCGTTCCCCCGGCGACAGCAGGCAGCTCCCGAGATGCCCTCTCCGGGCTCCTCCGGCCTGAACAGACCCTGCTGATTTGCTGCCAAATCGGCTCTTTTCTCCCCCGTCTTCCCTCCACGGACGGACCTCAGCTTTGGCCGCGAAACCCCGAGATTCCGAGTTCTTACTTCCCAGCTTACTTTCCCTCAGGGCCATCAACAAACACGCTCACCCCTCCCGAAATGTTTCCAGCCTCAAAACTTAGCAACCGTTGTCCCCCGCCTCCCGCGGCGGACTCCTGTCGCTTGTCCCTCGCCTCCTGCCCCCCTCCCGCCCCACTCCGCTGCTGCCTCCGGCCCCAGCAGCTGTCAAAGGCAGCCCGGGCCGGCGCGCACTTACCCCGGAGCACAGCGGGGACCGAACTGCCCATGAGGACCCAGAGGGAAAGGCGCAGCAGCAGCCGCCGCAGGCTCCTCGGTAGCCGGGGAGTCATCGCGGAGCCGGATCGGCACGGCCGGCGAGCCGCGGGCGGGGCGCGGGGGCGGCGGGGAGGCCGCGGCGGCGGTGGCGGGGCCGGCGGGGAGCGGGGCTGCGCGGCTCCGCTGCTCGGGACCGCGGGTGACTCACTGAAAACTTCACTTCGGCGCTGCAGGGGAAACAGGAAATCTTAAACTTCGCAAACAGCTGGGCAGGACTTTCTTACTCTTACAGTAGTTCCTTCTCCCCCTTCCCACAGTCACCCCCTCCCCTGCGCTCGCCCTTTTTCTTTTTTCTTTTTTCTTTTTTTTTTTTTTTTTCATTTAACATGAAACCTCACCCAGTTTGATGTCAATCATCTGCTAGAGGCCAGCCCCTCTCAGGTCTGGCTCTCCCACCACAAGCGCGTCGGAGCCAGCCCCGACGTGCAGCCCAGATCCCTGCGCCTGCCTCCCTCTGAGGCGGGGACCGGCCACAGCCACCCGCCCGCGCTGCCGGGCCCCGGAGCTGCACCGGGGCTGGGGGCAAGGCTCAAGGTCGAGAGGAAACGGCCAGCTCGGAGGGCTCCTTCTCCCTCCCAGTTGAAAGAAGACCCAGTCATATCATTTGGGGCACGGGGACTTTCCAGAACTCCTGCTGACATCCGTATCCCTGACCTTAACGATGCTGCTGCAGCCGGTTTCCCCCTCTGCGGAACTGGTATCGGAAAGAAGGACGTAATCCCCAGAAGAACTAAAGCAGGGAGCAGGGGAGGTTGAAGTCAGGGTAATAGTAGGAAACGTTCACACAGACTAGCTGGGCACTCAGCTTGCAGACGTTGAAGCTGGCTGGAGCAACTTGTCAGCTGCTTCTTATTTTGCACTTACCTCCAAATGGGCTGGATGTGCAATACTTGGTCTCGAATGCCATGTATGTGACACAGATTAAGTTCTTCTCCAGCCCTCCCCAAAGCAGTTTTTACCAGAGATTTTACCTTCTCCAGGAACGAAAAATTGCACCTATGATTCAGGAGTAGGACCACACTGATGATGCCAGCTTTGTATAGCCCAGTCAGAGATTGTAAGAACCATTAGACTTTCAATCTGAATAAGTCTTGAGCTTTCTGCCAGTATAAATCCAGCCATTGCATAGTGAGCAGTTGTCTTGAGACTCATTTTTGGCTCACAGTCTCCCTTCCTCTCTGAGTTAAATGGGTGGGTACTGATGGAAGGGCAAACTGATGCACATGGGGATAATTTGAAGGTGTTCGTTCTTTTGTCTCGGCTACAGCACTAGAGATACAGATCTGGGTATTTCAGAAAATGGCCTAAGGCTTCAGGGGAATATATGTAATCATGCTCTGACTGTCCCAGATCAACTCTGCTTGAATTTGGAAATGTTTGCATAAAGAATTTAATTGGCCTATAATAGACGTAAAAAAAAAAATCAATGTGATTTTATGTAAATTGAGTTTTAAAAACTCCCTAAATGCATATTTTCACCATGCCATCTCAGTTGATGGTGTAAAGTCACATAAAACTCTCCAAGAGCATTTTCCTCTCCCTCACCCTCTTTAAATACAGTCAAGATTCACTCAAGCACAATCTCTACCTTCCAGAGGTAAGAAAAATTTTGGACTCCTTTGAGCACAGACTGGAGTGTTCTTATCAGTTCCTGTGCACTAGCTCTGTGCTTGACTGAGTTTTCAGTATCCACTTAAACAAAAGCATTTCTCAACCCCCGTTAGTATATAAGGAGTGCTGTACATTGCTGTCTCCTTGTAGCTGTCAAACTACAGGTGCCAAAGAGCTGCTGTTTGCTTAGAAAGTTGGCTGTGTACGCAGAAATTTCCTATTAGTTTTTGGTGACGAACTTCCAACATGAAAAAGAGGTTTAAATGCCAATAAATACAGATTTAATGCTACTATTCAAACCTGTCACAATCCAGGCATGACGTGGCAAGCTGGCCTCTGCCTCGCTTGCATCTCTCTCCCTCACATGAGTTCCATGGCTCTTCTTCCGCATGGGCACATTCTGACCAGTCTCTCTCACCTAGAGTCTGGCACTAGGAGAGGGGCTTGCAGGAGATGGAGGCCTTGGGAAGGGCTGTACTCAGGTCTCCAACAGTCTCACACCCTTGAGTGCAGCATGGCATCACAGCTCCTCTCTCTCACATGAGGTAAAATGGCACCTGTTACCCAGTAAGTGAGGAGTCTATGACAAATTGACTTCAGAAGTCTGATATTTCCATGTAAACATTGCTTTTATTTTCACAATACATCATGCAGTGAGGACTGTGCTACAGCTGCACTTTGGATGTTCAGAGAACCCGTGAGAGTGCTAGGTGCTACTAGAAAGTTTTTGGGTGGAAGGAAGGTAGGTATCCTCAGTGGAGGAGTACTGACTTTGTCGCCCACAGCCTATGTGGAAGTTGAAGTAACCCTGATTTGGTTCACAGATTTGTCCCAGACAGGCTTATTAGTAAAATCTCATGTTCTACCTTTGAATACTATAAGTCTCCCCATTAGGGCCTAAATGCAGCTTAATCAGGATTTCCTGGACAACCAAAATATATAAAATAAGACTAAGCTGGTCATTTCTTTCCATTTCCTTGTTCATAGTTCCCAGTTCCCTATTTGCAGATAGCAGTTTATTACTTACTTCTAGATTGAAACTCTGAGCATTCAACCTCAGTTGAATACCTGACTGAGGTAGAGAAAGAGTCCCCTTTGAAGAGGAGCAGATTAAAGACCTAAATAATCAACTCCAGCCTGATAGGGTAAGAAAGGGGCAGCTAATTTCAGTTCCTCACTCAGAAAGGCAAAATATTGAAACACAGAATATTATATATTCTTTCTTAGCCTTAGAAGGATATATCCAGAACACAAACAGTCTGGTACCTCTTGAATCTCAGGGCCTCCTAGTGAAGACAAACTAAGTACTTGCTGTAGTTTTAGGTACAGTTTTTAAAATAGTCCATAAAAACTACTGAGTATAAATTATCTCTCTTTGTTATTACAACAATTTTTTAACTTTCAGTATAGTGCTTTTGTCAAAATCCCATGAGAACTACAGCATTATTCTCATAGAAGAACAGTTTCAACCTTCTACAAAACTTGCAGTGGTACTAAAAACTGTTGTTTCACTGTACTTAATATACACTCCACTCAAAACCATTCTATGCACAGTCAAGAACTGCTAATGCATTCAATAAAGCAATTCTTTTGATTAGTTTATTAACTTCAGTGTTGTTTTGTTTAAGAATCCCAGAACAAGATAATTCTGAGACCCACTGATTCAGAGTTAGGCCTATACTGTTTTACTAACATAATATAATATTCACGCCTATATAAAGCTTATATATGTGATGTAGGGTGAAGACATCTCACCTTACTTTGGCTGTCTAAAAGTTAGCCTTGGAGTGAAGTTCCAAGAGATGATTGAGACAACCCACCACCTTTCCTGCCATCTAAAGGAGCAGTCTCGTTTTTTTGGCTGTAGTGGGATAGTCCCAGATCAGGTTCAAGAAGGAAAGGCTAGAGGACAAATGCTGGATGAACAGAACTGTCATTATGGTCGCAGCAGGCTATTAGATCAATTACATTCCCTCAGTCATCCAAGGATGGAAAGGAGTCCAGATATTTTAAAAACCTTCTAGACTCATGAGCTGATAATAGAGAGCAGAGTTAGCCCAGACATCTACTTTTTAGGTATCTGATGTTAGATGATGTGAATCGTAAAGAAAATGCTCTTTGAATTGTATACATCATATAAAGTAAGCTACAAGATGCTTTACCGACTGGCAATCATTGGAGCTACTTCCTGTGATATTTGTTTGGAATGACACAAGGAAATCAGGTACATAGTATGTTGATATTACCTTGACAAAACTGCTAATGACAAAACTGGACTAAGTAGTTTGACCCAAATAAAAGCATTGATGACTCTGAATAAGTTTTGTCATAACTACTTTCAAAATAAAATAGGAAATTTGCTTGAAAAATTGACACATCCCTTTTCAATGTTTTTGGTATGATACAGTTCGGGTTTTGTTTTGAAGCAGACAAGTAGTTTTAAATTTTTTTCGTTCTCTCCATGTAACATATTTTTAAAAAAGGATATGGGAACAACATAAAACACTTTAATTTCACTGCAGTGAAAGTTTATTTTTTAGGGAAATTTTGGTATTTCAGTTCAAATCAAAGTCAAATTTTGTAAGCTTGTATCGTTCGAAACTCAAAACCTCTGTTCCCTGCAGCCCTTTGTTCACAAAACTAACATTTGCCTGCTAATTTTCAATTGAGGGTGCTTGGCATGGAGTATTGGCCTTGCAGCACTCTTGATAAAAGCTCTGCCTGTCATGTGTATCATTCCTCTTTGGACTACTGTGAAACTGTTTTGCCTTGTATCACTGCTTGCATCGTATTTCTCTCTTAATTTAGGTTATCATAGAGTGCAGAATTATAGCTACACCTAAATGCAGTTTTCTTCTTTTGCATAATCACTGGTTTTAACTTGTTAATAATGATTTGCACCATTATAAGAACAAAAGCACCCTCAAGCAAGGACATTTCAAAAGGTTGCATTTATTGTAAAATGTTTTGAAAAATTCATAAAAAGTGTTTGGACTTAACACAGCATTATGCTTATCTCACAGATATAATCAAATTAAAACATCTGTTGTGTGTAATCATCCGTCAGAAGCAGGAAATCAGCTCGTTATCAACTCCTGCATACATCAGAGGCAACAAGAATAATGTTATCTTCAAGATTTATCTTAGTAAAGCTTTCTGTACAAACCTCCTGAATGACACTTAGCAAAATAAAAGTTTGAAATATTATTCTAATTAGCACTAGACTCTCAGGGCACTGCTCTTCACATGATCTCTGACTTTTAGCTATAATGCAAATCAGCCATTTTTAAGGTTCACCAAATTGACTTGTTCTGTGTTTACTGTGTATGTAAAAATACCCCCCAACAGTGAAAGCAGAAGTACATTGGTGCCAGAGGAGATATCCTTCCGCAGTGCTTCTGACAGGAAGGACCTCTAATCTCACCACACAACCTTTTAAAGGAAAACTTCCATTCTATTTTTTCAAAAGCAAAGGACATTTGGAGACTTTATGCTGTCTTCTTCAGCTTCTTGTACTTCTCACAATGGGTATTTGAGCTGGGGAGAAACCTTGCACATCTCCATAAATGTGTTGTATCTTTTGTCTTGAATCTTTTACGTGTACAAAGAACTGGTAAAATT